TTGTTTCTTTTTGGGAACATTCTCTTCTCTCCTGCTGTCATGTCCTTTTAGCTGGCTAACACATTTTTCAGAACTCAGCTTAAGTCTCAAGTGCCATAACTTAAGACAGCCTTTCTCGGTCCCTCCAGTCTGGCTGAGATTTCCTTACTCCCGCCCATCACACCACTCATTGCTTATGTTGAAACGAGCAGAGCACATGTCTAGCTGCTCCTGACTGTGATGTCCCAAGCACAGGATTCTTTCTTAATCACTAATATGAACTCCAACACCCTAGCATTGTGCCAGGTGCTCAGTAAATGTTTGTAGAATGGAAGATCCAAACAGGAAGTCATATGACCTTGGCCAGGCACTTAACCTGCCTATTTCTTGTTTTGTTTTTTTTTTTTTTTTGTAAGGGAAGTTAAGAGGTGGGTATATTAATTTGAAACTCTGGAAAGGAATCTTATCCAATAGCCCCTTCAACACAAGTCTTTCTTCCCTTTCTGCAGCAAATCTGAGGTCATCTTCCACTTTAAAATCCCAAAATTTTGAAATGTAATGCAATGCTATTATTCATAATGGTGGCAGGGTCAGATTAATGGCACATCTTAGCGTTTGTGTGGAAGACACAGTACTTTAGGTTGTGAGGTATGGGAATTGATTGTATTTGCTCAGCAGGGTGTCTGAATGTCTAGGATAATGGATGCCTCTAAAAAGGGTTTAGGAACCTAGCAAGTCCAGTGCTGGTTCTGCCGACTTGGAACTGAAGCTCCAGAACCGTCTCGTACACCGAAGGGTCGGGGTGCAGGCGGGACTCGAGGTGGGTCGGGGCCTGCCTGGGAGGAGACCACGGGAGAGGATTGTCAAGGTTGGCAAATTTTCTTCTGAGGAAGTTCATTTTGACAGCAGAGTGGAGACTGGATTGACGACTGGAGACAGGAAGTTGACTGCGTCTTTTTTCCCATTCACCGGGCTGCCCATCCACCCCACCAAGCAAGTATTTCTGACTGCTTGGCTCCGAGAGCGAGCTCTGTAATCAGACGGGCGGTGTTTCAAGTACTGTCCTGCCACTCGCCCATCTGTGTGACTTAGGGTGAATCACTTAGTTCAGGGGTCACCACCCCTGGGCCGCTGGCCAGTACCAGTCCGTGGCCTGTTAGGGACTGAGCCGCCCAGCAGAAGGCGGGCGGCAGGCCAGGGGCACAGCTTCGCTCGCATTTCCGCCTGAACTCCTCCACCTGTCCACCCCCACCCCCAGCCCCGTCCACGGCCCGTGGGACAACTGTCTCCCGTGAAACCTGTCCCAGGTGTCGGAAAGGTTGGGGACCACTGAATGAGTCAGTAATTCAATCAGCTGAGAAACAAGACTAATGATAATATCCATTAATGCTTCCTAGGTTGGCTGGGAAAGATTAAATAATACTTAATAAATGCTGGGTACTATGCCAGGAATTAACCGTTCACAAATGTTTTGCTATTTTGTTAATATTGACAGGTTGTTGGCACAGATTTGGTAGGTGTGGTACTGGGGAGGCTGTGACGACCTGCACTACAATGAGATGCACGTCGGCGTTTACTGTGCACGGACAGCTTACCGAGCGTCACGCTGGGCAGCGTGGGCGGCACGGGGGTCTGTGCCTCCAGGCAGAATGTGTGCCCTGCTGTAATCAGCACAGTGGTGGAGGTTCAGGAGACGCGTTTGGAGAAAAAAGGTGGGGTCTGAGACGGGTCTTCAAGGAGGGATAAGACTCCATCCAGTGGGAGGACTTGGAGGGCAAGGACTCTTCACACACAGGCAGCGAGTGAATGACACAGCAGTCAAGGGGCAACAGCATGGGAACGCGTAAAAGAAAACCTGGGAAGGTAGGTGGGACTAACATACAGGAGCTCTCTAGGGAAGTATAAGGAGAGATCAAGTATTGAAATATGGGTAAGTGTCAAATTATTTTCCGTAGAGAATTTTGAATTACATTCTGAGGATCTTAGACTTTACCGTGAATCCCAGGACGGGGCAGAAAGAGAATATTGGCTTATATTTAGACAGATTTTAAGACAAAGCCATGAAGGAGAGAGGAAGAGGAAGAGGAGATGGAGGAGACTGCGTGGAAGGCCATTGGAAGGGTGGAGGGCACCGAGAACCTGAATGACTTCCCTGAGGAGGAAGGAACGGGTGGGCTGAGGAGCCTCCCCAGACAGGCAGTGGAGGGATTCAGGGACTCCTGTGTTGTGGGGTGAGATGGAGGAGGTGGCTCTGCAGCCGGAGAGACCAGGAAATGACAATGCTATTGAGAATGTGAAGTGGGAGGGGCTGGGAGGAAAGATGGGTTTTAGTTGGAGGTGCTCCTGAGACACGTGTCTGGAGAACACACCCTCATGGCTGCAGACCATTGGCCTGAAGCTCGTCAGTGTGACTGAGCCGGGGCAGGGAGTGGAGTCCCCGCTAAAGCATAGTTGAAGTCACAGAAATCGGGAGGTGGCCAGTGCGGAGAAGGACTGCCTTTCATTCGGAGCAGTGAGAGTGAAGGGAGTGGCTGAGATGGCAGGGAGAACAGGAGAGATGTACGTCTTGGGGAGAAGAGGAGAAATTTTCAGGAAACACACGGGCGGCTAACAGTCTTACAAGCACAGAGGCCAAAGTGACAAATGACATTCCAAGTTGTTTATTGACTGATGGGTCAGAAGCAGAATTTTAGGTGTCTTGGGTGGCATATATAAGGCCCGCTGACATGGGACCACTCTGAGATGAAGAAATGATGGACAGTTTGATCAAGTGTCTGACATTTCATGTGGCTTTCGAATAGCTGCGCTGAGCTTCCTCTAGCGAAGAATGTTTTGCCCACCCCCCACTCGGATTCTCCCTCCTTAGACAGTTTCAGTAGGGATTCAGAGTGGAGGAAGGGTGATGGGATGTCCTCTCCATCCCCGAGTCTGAAATCACCCTGTGGGAAGGTGTCCTGTATCCAACAGAAAGACAGAAGCAGAGCTGTGGGTTCACCGTGTTGGGCACGGGCATGTGCTAGGTGTCAGCCACCTCTGGTACTTCTCCCAGAAAACCAGCCAAGTAACCCTAGAAGGCAGTTTACAACTTGGCTGTGGGTTGCAGTTGGCCCCAGAGAAAGAAGGCTGCCCAGAAAGGTGAGCACCTGAGTCTGCTCTTCAGGAGCTCCCCCCCCCCCGAGGGTGTGGGCGGAGAGCTACGTCCACCGTCAGAAAACTCCGAGTTGCTGACTGACGAAAAGGAACATCTTTTTCTTTCCGAGGGCTCGTAGTAGCAAATGAGTTCAGAGAGCCGGAGGATCAGGGTGTGGGCGGGGTGAGAACCTAAGAGCCTCATTTTCTAAATCACAGTTCACGTTAGTATAATAAGTGAGTTTCTAAATGTACATTCTGTTTCAGGATAGAGCAAAACATTGGGTTCTGTGTCTTCACACATCCTGTGGTCACGTTGGTCTCTTCTCTCTCATCTCCGTTTCCCCTCCCTCCATCAGTTTTCTTCTGAAAGTTGGAACACTGCCCTCTCCCCACTGCTGCCCTCCCTGCAGCTGCTGGGTTGGGTCTGGGCCTTCCTTTCCATTCTGTTTGTGAAGGATCCCTGGGTGCAAGTTTCTGCTGAAAAGAGCATGATTTTCATTGCAAATGGGTCCAACGGGACATCTGACATTGCAGCTGGGTCTTCATGCAAATGACAGGGATCCCCACCCTGCGCTCCCCTTGCCTGCGGAAGGCCAGGAGGCCGCGAACCCTACGGCCCTTGCAGTTGGGCTCCTGTGGTTTCCAGAGCCTGTCCTGGCTCTCTGACTGCTGAGTGGCTGGGGGGGCCCTTCCTTTCCTGTCCCTCGCCTTGTGCTCCTTTGCCTTCCCAGGCTCGCACTTGCTTTCCTTCCCATTTCCACTGTCTTCTTTCCTACTCTTCTTTTTCCTTTTTCTATCTTTCTTCCATTCCCTCAAGGCAAACACCTATGAGACCTTTCCTGCATTTAATTGTGTCTCCTCTTTCATATCTTCTCCTTGCGGCTCATTAAGAACACAAGCTAGTGTCCAATAGTAAATACACCACTGATACTCAGCACCACTGCTGCCGGAAGTGGGTCTGGCGCCGTGGGGTGTGCAGGGCGTCTGCTGGAGGGGCACTGCTGGGGTGGGTGTGGAAGGCAGGGACTGCTGCTGTGCTCATCTTCACCCTGGGCAGGGAAGTGGGGACCAACAGGGCTTACCAGGAAGTAGTGCGGTGCAGTAAGTTACCAGTCAGGAGACCAAAGTGTGTCTGTAAGCCCCTGTGAGCAGAGGACACTTCGCTTCTCTTTGGCATGCACTGATCTTCATTTTTAAAATAGGGATCTTGGGTTTGATTCCCAGTCAGGGCACAGGCCTGGGTTGCAGGCCAGGTCCTCACTTGGGGGCACACAAGAGGAAACCACACATTGATGTTTTTCTCCTTCCCTTCCACTCTAAATAAAAATAAAAATAAATCTCTTAAAAAATAAATAAAACAGGGATCTTGGTATTTGATTTAAGAACCCAGTGAAATAATTTGTATGTGAATGCTTTGAAAAGTGGGATTATTATTGCTACTTAAATGGACAAACCTCACAAACAAAGTATAGAAACTGGATTCGCCACGTGTAAATGAGCTGATGGTACTGGGTGGTCTCAGATGAGTCTTCCAGCCCTTCAATTCTGTTTTTTCCTAGACCGTTCTGGACATATAATGTGGGCTCTAAATTATTAGGATGGATGGACAGATGGATGGATGGACAGATGGACGGACTGACATCTAAACGTCCAATTGCTCTCCTTACCCCTTCCCAGTCTTACTTCCATCTTACATGGACACCACCGCCCTCTTCTGGCCAGTAGCAGTACTACGGTGCAGTGAGCGTAGCTGGGCCCTCTTCTCCTGGTTCTCCCCAGCCCCAAACTCTGGCTCCCTGAGCCGGCCCTCTGGGACCCTTCTGGCCTTCGGTCACTCACGGCCCGTCTCTCCTTCTCCCCCCTCCCCCCTTTTCCTTGTACCCCTGCAGCACTGCCAGTAACTCCAACCGCAGCACGCCGGCCTGCTCCCCTATCCTGCGGAAGCGGTCTCGCTCGCCCACCCCTCAGAGCGCTGACGGCGACGCCATGGTAGAGAAGGGCTCGGACCACTCCTCGGACAAGTCCCCGTCCACGCCGGAGCAGGGTGTGCAGCGCAGCTGCTCCTCGCAGTCTGGCCGGAGCGCAGGCAAGAACTCCAAGGTGAGCTGGCCGGTGAGCTGGCCAAGGGGGGCAGGTGGTGTTGGGGACTGTGAGGAAGACCACCCTTTCCTGGAGGGACCCTAGTGTGCCAGGGATAGTGTTCCCTCCTCCCCGAGGCAGGGGGAGGCTGGGCGGGTAGGGGGCCCCCCAGTTACAGTTCATCTTCCCAGCTAAGCGCCCAGAGAGGGGCCGAGCACTGGTAAAAGAAGTCGACAGAGACTGCTCCTCTCTTTAGTAACTAGAAAGCCTCAGGTGCCTTGTTAAGGGGAGGAGGGAAGCTCCCAGGATCAGGAGGGGTCACCTGCCTGCCCCTTTTATCTGTCCCCACTTCGAGGTGGAAGGGGGCCTAGTTCGGGATGACTACAGGACCAGGTAGAGTCCTCAGGGAGTGTGGCGGAACGCTGTTTTCCACCTCCGTGCTGGCTGTCACCCGTTCTTCCCTTCCTGACCTCCATCCGATAGGCATCTGTCCCAGGACACGGCCGCAGGTCCTCTCCACCCCTCCCACGTGGTCAGCATGGCCACCCGAGCACAAGCCTTGGCCGAAGCATAGGCATAAAGTAGCCCCGGGGCCGGGCCACGTCCAGTGCCCCAGAAGGTTTCTTCTCCCCCCCCCCGCCCCGTCTTGGGGGTGTGGGACTCACACATGCCCAGATGCCCCTTCACCACTGGACTGCAGGCCCTGGGGTGGGTGGGGGGCCGGGAGGCGCGGGAGCGAGCATCCCACCTGAATTTGTCTTTTGATTTCTTGTTCTTCCTCTTCTCCCCTACCATTTCTCAAATACCTTCTTTGCATGCATGGTCTTAGTCTCACAAGCGCCTCTCAAAAGTAAGCCATCTTTCGTCTCTGTCTGTGGTCTCCCCTTCGGTGTGGAATTGTCTGTAGTGCGCTGCATCCTTCCCTCTGCCCCGCCCGTTCTGGCCCCTGTCTCGCTTGGTCCCTTTCCCGGAAGGCCGGCCCCACTGCCCTGGGCAGGCTGGCTTGACATCACCGAGGGGCCGTTTCCTCTGCGCCTGGAGTCGGAGAACAGACCCGTGCCCCACCCCCCATGTCTGCCTGCTCCCCAAACACTGCCTGGGGCTGGGGGTCTGTTCCCTCCTTACATGGTGCCAGCTGGAAGCAGAGTCTGGCCAGGGCGGTTTCGTTCCTTCAGGGGAGGGAGGCTCTATCCACTGGGGCCTCAGTACTGATACAGCTTTAATCTGCCTCGGTGAGTGACCCCTGATTCTCTGATTGAGGGTCGTGAATCCTCTTAGGTGAGTTCCGTGATGCACTAGAACAACCTGGGGGGCCCTATCTGGCACCTTCTTCCTTCTGCCTGCCCTCCAAGAGCTGCCCAGCCTGAGCACCCGTGCCCCTCCCACCCATTGCCAGTGGGGTCCCCTCGTGTTGCATAAAGGCTGGAGAGAGCTCACCAGGGCATCTCCTCCCAGCAGGGCGTGGCGCCACACCTGGGGCTGGTAGGAATCGGCAGCAGTCCCTTCAGGCTCAGAAGAGCCTCGGCCAGGTCTGGCCAGGTCCAGTGCCCGGAGTCCTCTCAGGACCCAGGGTCCCCGAAGCCTAAGGAGAACCGGGAGGTAGCAGAGGGTGAGCAGTAGGTGTCTTAGAATGTCAGGGTCAGGGCGTGATCCCCACAGGGAAAGGGTGGTTATTGCCTCAAGAAGAGAAAGCCAAGGGGTGCCTTCATAACAGTCTCAAGCTTGTGTAAGTGTTTTGGGGAGAAGGAGGGTGAACAGCTGTTGTCTTTCTTGCGCAGAAGGACTTTCAGGCTAAAAGCACATCTGAGTTCCAAGGAAGGTCAAAGACGGCGCGGGCTGTGGACAGGGAGGTCCTCCACGTGGAGTGAGGAAGCCAGGAGCCGTTCTTGGTGTGTGGGGGCAGCTCGGAGGGTGCAGGCTCCTCTGGCAGCGGGGCTTTGAGGTGGCCTCTGCCTGCCCTCCCCAGCCCCTTACCCCCAGGCCTGGAGAGAGCAGATGTGGACGGAAGGGGCATCGAGTTATTGCATCTCTCTGTCTGCCCTCAGTCTCCGTGTACTTTGCCAACCTGAGGGGAAGCCCCAAGCTTCCTTGCCTTCTGCCCAGCAAGATGTTCCGTAGGCAGAGAGATTCTTATTTATGGTCGTTAGTCACCGTCACTCAGGGTGCCTCTGGTCCTCAGGTGGCAGGTGGAGGGGAGTTTTCAGTAATGAGGATTCGTTAAAATCTCCCAAGTAGGTCTTTGGAAAAGGAATGTGGACCCAGATTCCTCACCCTCAGGCAGATCACAGTCGGAGAAGGGAGATAAACTACTTAGATTACTCACGATCAGGCCGGAAAGCAGAAGCCCAGGTGCAGTTGGGGTGCTGGGTGAGTTCAGGGGGTGGAGAGTTGTTTAGGAGCTGGTGGCTGGTGTGTGTCTCGGAGAGCCAGTGCACCCAGTCAGGCCTGGGCTCTGAGATTTCTGAAGGGCACCACGGGGCATGAGGAGGGGACCGGGAGCTGAGTGTGAATTTCCCGTTCATCTTGGCCCCTTCCACGAGGAGGTGACTGAGAGCCTCAGGTCTTCCTTCCTTCTGAAGAGCGCGGCTGAGGCAGGGCCAGCCCCAGTGGACACACACCCTCCAGTCCCCGGCTTTGGACAGCCGCCTCCCCACCGCATTCTGCCACCACTCATGACCGTGGCCACCAACAGCACCAACCTCCAAGTGCGGTGAAAACAAGGCTGATTTGTGGGGGAGGGGCACGCTGCACCCCAGGTCTGGGAAATGCGTGTGTGGGACGGGCAGACTTTAGAGTTAGGATTTCCCCAGGTCGAGGCTGGGAGCAGAAAATGAGGAAAAGCAGTGGAGGAGAGGTGGAGAGAGAAGGAGAGTGTGCTCTGTGGTGGGGAGAGACCCCCTCCCCTCGGGGGGCATGGTCTCAGGTGGACCCCGTGTTTCCGTGCAAGGGGGCTGGTGGCCGCAGCTCCTGTCAGTGTTCTTCTGGCAGGTCCACCGCACTCCCTGTCTCAGTCCGCCTAATAGAGCAGGCGACATCGTTGTTACGCTTCAGGGAAAGGGGGTGGGGGCTGGAGAGAGCTTCCACAGCCACCAGAGCTGGCCTCCCGCTTAGTGTCTGCCTTCCTGCCTCCATGTCTTCATGGGTCTCCCTGTGGGGGCTGCGCTAGTGGATCAGTAGCGTCCCTCCGCTGTGAATCTGAAACTGCACCGACGAGGCTGGCCTTGCGGGCAGCCCGGACTAGAGCAGTGGGGCTAGAAGACAGGGAGGCTTGTTTCCACTGCCCAGGAAGACGGTTGAAGGTTGTGCTACCCGCCAGCTTCCGCTCTGTAGTGCCGGCTTGGGGCCACTAGAGGGCGCAAGCGGCCGTCTCCTGCTCCCACCAGCTCTCTGATCTAGGGTGGCCGCAGGGTGCGCTTTGTCACCTTGACTCTGGGTCCCTGGGCCTTTCTTCCCCTTGACTTTTCCCGTTTTCCATTCCTAATTTTTGTGGTTTTCTTTTCAGTATGACAAACTTAACCTGATCAAAGTAAGAAGTTTTTTTCTCCTAACTTCTATTAGATGTAGAGCTCCTCATACCCGCTTTTGCCCCCTCGCCCTTGTCTTCCAGTCCCTGGAGCCCCTTGCACTGGGGAAATGATTTTAGGGGACTGGATCTCTGCCAAGGGGCCTTGTATTCCCGTAGGTGCTTGCTCTTCAAACCCTTTCTAGGGGGCAATAGAAATGTCCTCTGCTCAGCTCCCCACCCATGGCAGCTTCGTCTTTGGGTACTTTTCCTGACTCCTTCTGTAACTCAACAAAACAAAACAACAAGGTTCAGCTGCCAGTCGCCATAAAGCCAAACTCAGGAGGCAGGTGCTGGTGCAGAAGGAAAGAGGTTTTTATGCAGGTGCTGCACACCCCAGGAGAATGATGGGCTTCCGAGTCTGCCATTGGACGTGTGGAAAACGTCCAACCGTGTCCTCAACAAGGCCAAGACCAAGGCCAGTGTCCTGAGTTCCTGCTCCAATTTCAAGTACAGCCCTTCGAAGCTTGCAGGCAGCTGCTTGGCAGTCATAGTTCCAACCCAGGCCATGTAGCTTGTTCCAGGCTGCTGTGCATTTTAGGCTCCCCTGGAGCCTGCGTGTGAACCTACTGGCCAGTCCATCGCTAGGAGGGCGAAAGTGCGTGCACACACACAGGAGGGGGGAGAACAGGAGAGGGGAGAGAGGTAGAGGGTGGAGACCCGGAGGCTCCTTCCTGGAGGTCACGTGGCCCACGGAGAGACCAGGCGAGTGCACTGCGCAAGTCCAGTGTATGCGCAAGCGCAGGCACGTTATGAGGGCGTGCGCGCTCACCCGCCTGTGTTCCCCTGGGACTATATTTGTTTGGGCGTGGGCAGGCCAAGTGCTTTCTCAAAATGACCAGTCAGCTTCCCAGACTTTCGAGTGCTTCCGGTAGGCTCTCTCTGACAGGTCTCTCTGGTCCAGCACCTTCCCCTGCACAGTTTTGACTCTTATGGCACATGTGCTTGCCTTTCGCTGGTCCCACCCCAATCTGGTATCAGAAGGGGTGGGTAGGGCTATCATCTCTATGCAGTTACCTTGCTAGCTTTTTGTGCTCAGATCTTATTTATTGATATTTCTAGCGCTCTCAGCGTAAGAACCGCCCCTTGCCATTGTCTTGGCCAATAGGGGAGCCTCCCTGGCACTCCAGCTAGTCTTTCTACTGGCAACACCTCCTCCTCTATGAGACAATTCCATTTACAACTTGTTGAAAAAGCCCTCACCCCAATTCCGTAGTTCTGATCTCCCCATGCCTCTGGCCCACGGAGGAGCATCTCAGTGTGCTCACAAGGCAGGCAGCTTCCCTCCTGCCAACAAATTACCTTACTCTCTCCTGCTGAGGCCCCCACAAGGTGCACCCCACCCTCCCCACCCCTGGTCAGGACTCAGTCCCGGTAGAACAGAGCCTCAGTCTCTAAAATTTGCATCCAAGAGGCAGGTCAGAGTTCAGAAACTCACGCCCACAATGGGTGTTCTCGGGGACTACCATGGATTAGGCTGGAGGCGGTGCCTAGTGCTTCCAGTGGCACCTCAGTGGTGGCAGGTGAGAATCTGCCCAGAAATAGCCGGGTAGAAGTGGCCTCATGCTGAGGAACAAAACAAAAATCTGTGCTCTCTATGGTATATGAGGGGAGCCTCCCAAAAAACTGGAATTATCTTCGGGAGGGTGGGCCCCAGGGTATAGGCTTCTCCCACTAGGTGTGTGTCCTAGGAACCTATCTGTATCAGTGTGCCAGCTGGCCTTGTTGTGAGAGGCTGCGTTTGGCTTCAGTCCTTTTTTTTTTTAAGACTCTTTCAATGTGTTTGCCCATTTTGTGATGAGTGCACCTGCCCACACCTCAGTGTTCAGCAGTTTTTGACCAAAAACGGCTTGACCCTCCACCCCACCCTTCCTATTCACCCCATGTCACCAAGCTACTTCTCTTGTTTACCTTGCTGAAAGAAGTCCTCAGAGATGTTTTGCGCATGTGGAAGAGGTGAAACAAAAAATGGCAGAAGCACTAAAAGGCATCAAAATCGATGAATTAAAAAACTGATTTAGGCAGTGGAAAAACATCTCAATAGGTATACTGTATCCAACGGAGAGTACTTTGAAGGTGACTGAAGTTGAAACATGTAAGGATAAATACACAATTTTTGTAAATAAATTCCAAATTTTGGGGTCCCTCCTTGTATTTCCAGCTTTTGGCCTTGAGGACACACATTTAAGCCCTTTCACGAAACAGCAAGTGTTTCCCACGAAGGGATCACAGGGTGAGTCGGAGGAGAGGCACAGCTCTGGTCATGGGTCTTTGACCCTCTGAAGTTCTCTGCCATAGACAGACCTAGAGGGGACATGCGTTTGTGTGACAGGACTTCTCTGTTGCCTGAGGCAGGAGGGAGAGCACTTGGTAGCAGTAACCAGGAAGGACCTGGGGTCCCCCCACCCAGCCCAAGTTCTGCTGCCCCCTTTCCTCCCAGGTTCTTATGTGAAGGCCAGGAGGAGGGGGCGGGTGAGAGAGAGTTCTCAGCTGTGAAGATGTCCTGGCTGGGTTGATGAAATGCAGGCAAACTCTTGGCCTGGAGGTAGGCAGCTCCCAGAGCACGCCTTTCACCGCTGGGGAATGTGCTTGAATGAATACCTGCCCGGCCTCAGGGCCTGCAACCACAGCGAGTTCAGTGACCCAGTTCGGAAACAGCTGCCGGCAGACTTTCGATTCCACGCCAGGATTCCCATGTGACAGCAAGTCCCTCCTTGGTGAGGTGGTTGGTGTCAGACGTTCAGTTTGGCCCCTCTCCCTGCTGAGGCCTGTGGTTCTCAGGAGGAGGCAAGGCTGTGGTGGGAGTACGTGACTCCCAGGTGGGCTGTGGCGGCTGCCTCTGTCTGGAAATGGGCTTGGAAAGCATCTATTCTGGGAGATGGAGGGCATGCCTTGCCTTCTGCCCCTCTGGCCATATTCTGGCCACGGAGCTCAAATGTGACGTTGAAACAAAGTCAGAGGCAGCAGAGCCTGTGCCTGTGCCCCTTGCTCACACTGCCCCCTTCTCGGCAACGGATGAGGGGGGGCTGGGGAGGGGAGGTTGCATGGCCATGCCTTCCTCACCACGAATGCTCACCCACCCTGCACCCACCAGCCACGCACAGCACACATCCTGAGAGAGTGGGCCCTTAGGACCAGAGGAAGGGGACAGGGCGCTTAACCATGCCCAAGGCCCGAGGCACTGCCCATAGTTACACCGTTGAGCTGCAGGCAGTGTTCCTCTCTCCCTAGTGACTCTACCAGGATCACGCCCTCGGCCAGCTTTTTAAAACTGGCCGGACTCCAGCCCCAATCTGAACGTGTTGGATCTGCACCTCGAAGGACGGGGCCCAGGCCAGTGTTTGCACATGTGCGCGCATCTGTTCCTCAGTGCCGTGGCCTTCCTGGTGGGATGTGCGTGCAGGCCCCCAGGCCCGAGAGATCACAGAGAGACAAGGCATAGCCTTAGCCCTCCCTCCTTCCCCCTAAACACCTTTTAGTTGCCTGGGCTGGGAATGGAGAGCACGTGGTTCTGGAGCCGGGGTGGGGTCTGGTTTTGCTGGTTGAATTATGGTGCCACACTTTGGGGGAAACGGCAGTTATGTGCTCTAGCCTTTCTCCCGGTGCAGAGCCCCCCTTCCTCCCTCCCCCCCAACCCCCGCCCCTGCCGGCCCCGCTGAGGACACAGTCAGTTGCTGAGCAGGAGTGGGGACAGGCTCCGCAGCTCGCTGACCACTGGGTTGGAAGGGTTCCAGGCAGTCCCTTCCCCCCTCGCCCCCAGGCGTCCCTTCTGCGGAGGGGCGGACTCCCTCCGCACTTTGCTTCTGGTCAGGGCCCATTGGGGACTGGGTCTCGGATGCCTGCCCTGCATCCTGCCCCCCATCAGAAGAACCTTGTGATGGGGCTCCGACTCCTCTCCGGTTGAGCTCTGGCTGGTGCTGCCACTGCCTGTCCCCCCCCAGCGCGGCAGAGCTGCCAGCATGGGACGCCCCCGGCCTTCCTCCGGAGCTGCCTCGAGAAAGGAGGGCCCTGCGGGGCGGCCCCGGGGCGTGTTCAGCTGCATTTGGACTCCTCGCTGCCGCCCCGCTGTCTGTGTCACCCGCCCTCCGGAGTCGGGGGAGCCTGGCCGTGCCCACCATCTCTTCCCTGACTAACTCGACTTCCTCTTTTATTTTGTCCTTTCAGAAAAGCCAGAGCTGGTATAATGTAAGTATCTCATTTCTCTTCTTGTGGGTGCACGTGAGCGGGGTGGGGGGTGGGGAGGTGGGGACGTGGTTGGGGATGGAGAAGTGTGGTGTGCAGGGGGGCTGTCTGTGGTCTGAGCAGACGCAGGGACCCAGGCAGGTGGGTCGCTGTCCTGACCAGCCCTCCATTGAACACCAGACACTGCGGTGCCCCTCTGCCGCCAGGCAGGACTGCTGGCAGGGCGGGTGGGAGTCAGGGCACCCAAGGGGGCTGGGCGTACCTCATCCTGCCCTAGACTCCTGGCCATGCCCCTCCAAACTTCATGGAAGAGACCAACCAGGGAAGACCGACAGTTCTGCCATGGAGACAGCCCTGGACAGAGCTGAGGGCCTGGTGTCTTTAACCAAGACCTCTGGGCAGAGATGCAGGCAGAAGAATTTCCCCCAGTAGTACAGGGAGACTGTCCCATGTGGTGGCATTTGGGCCCCCACCCCCAGGTGCACCTTAGAAGCCCCTTCTTTTTTTTTAGATTTTATTTATTTATCTTTAGAGGGGAGGGGAAGGGGAGAGGGAGAGAAACATCAATGTATGGTTGCTTTTCGTGCGTCCCCTGCTGGGAATTGGCCTGCAGGGAACTGGCCTGCAACCCAGGTATGTGCCCTGACTGGGAATCGAACCATGATTGTCTGGTTCTCAGGCCCGCACTGAGTCCACTGAGCTACACCAGCCAGAGCTAGAAGCCCCTTCTTGAGACACCCCTGCACTAAGTCTGTGGTGGAGCTAAAGCCTGGGGGCGTCCATGGGGCAGCTCGGCCCCGGACCCCGCGCCCTGGAGCTGCGTGGTGGGGCCGCCTCCCCTCACCACGCAGACGGGGCCGAAGAACGTTGGAACGTCCCCAGAGAAGCGGGGCATCGGCGTCCCTGCTGGCCCGGCAGGGTGGGCGCCCTGCTGGGACTGCACAGCGGAGGGACTGGCCATTTGCATGGTGGTCTGGCCTTGCCTCCTGGCCAGGCCCCTGGCGCAGCTGCTCCTGCTTGATCCTGAAGGGTCATGTGGTCACCATATTTCCGTGTTCCCCAGGCCCAGGCTCTGCTCCAGCAGGTCCCGTGGGTTTGGACAAGGGGTGGGACAGGGTGGCTGTGGGCGACACTCTGCCCACAGTTGAAGACACTCCGGGGTCGGGATAGGGAGATGCTTGGGTTTAAGGCAGGGACCTGGGTCAGAATCACTTGGGGGCAGGGCACAGGGATGTTCTCTACTCAGCTCAGCGATTCCCCAAATGTTCCCTGTGTGCCAGTGTCCGGCCTGAGGCTTCCCGCCTGCTCTGCAGCGGCCTCCCCACCCCAGGGCGGCTCCACGCATTGATGGATCTGCCTGACTTAGCCCAACACAGCACAGACAAGGCAGAGGTGGGGGCTGTGCTGATGGGGGCGGTGAAGGCTGAGGGGGCCTGTGGAGGTGTGGGGGGAGTAGGCAGCTTCAACTCTTCCTTCCCATCCGGCCACCTTGGCCCCCCCCACCAGGCCTTCCCTGGCCTCATACGTGGCCTCCCTGCTGTGTAGAGCACAGGTCCTTGGGAGTAGGGAGAGGCGGGGGCGGGGGGAGCAGGAGGTGCTTTCCAGGGAACTGAGTGGGAATTTCATATCCTTGACCCCATGAAACCTTCCACCCTCCTGAGCCGTCTTGCAAAGTCAGTGCCTGGGGGACTGGAGATGTGAGTGCCTGGGGGGCTGCAGATGTGAGACAGTGGAAATGCTCCCATCGAGACCTGCAGGCCCGTCCTGGTGGCCGCGTCCTGCTCTCCCTCCTCCACGCTCTGCACCAGGCTCATTCGGTCTCACCTTCCCTTTCCTTGATTCCTCCCGCGCCTTTTCCACTCTGACTTCCGTTTTCCTCCCCCACCTCCGTTTCACCTCTCCCTCTGGTTTCCAGTCTCCTGGCTGGCCCCGTCTCTCTGTGATTCTTGCAGGCTCTGCTCTGTCCTGTCTTTCTCCTGTCGCTTCACCTCTGATTGCCTCTCCCTCAGCCCCACACGTGCGAGCCGGCATCTGAGCACTTGGCAGAGGGACAGCTAGAAGTACATGTAGCCTCTTGGCCGCAGGGCGAGCTGCCACCGAAGGGCCCAGAAGTCAAGGGTTTTGATGACAGATACGTGAGGGAGGGCAGTGGAGCCGGGCAGGGCTGGGGACCTGCTTCCTGGCTAACTGCCAAGCTTATGGAATCGTCCGCAGAGCACGCGTGGCCCCCTTTTCACCCTCCACCCTCACCCTGAGTGGATATCAGGAGCCTCAGCTGCTCCACATCCATCACAGATTCTCACTTGCAGTGGCCGAGTGCGCAGGGGCCTTGGGCTGCCACGTTGGGGGTCCTTCCACGTTCTCAGTGGTGCCTGGCGTCCCAGGACGCAGCCGGAAACGTCCTCCTGCTGCTCCCTTCTCCTCTGCTCCCCGATTTCAGGTCACCGAGCAGATGTGGCTCCCACGTCTGCTCTCCACGGCCAGCTGCTGCCCTCTTCTTGGTTGTGCTCATCTTCCCCTGAGGCCGAAGCAGAGAAATGACAAGGGACCTCTAGCTGTCAGCTGTGTCTAGTTTACCTTTTCATTCTTTTGTCACATGCTTTTATTTTTTAAAAGACTTTATGTGTTAATTTTAGAGAGCGAGGAAGGGAGAAAGAGAGGGAGAGGAACATCAATGTGTAGTTGCCGCTCATGCGCCCCCTACTGGGGACCTGGTCTACAACACAGGCATGCGCCCTGACTGGGACTCAAACTGGCAACTTTTCAGTCGGCAGGCTGGCCACACCAGCCAGGATTGTCATGTGCTTTTATATCCAAAGAAGAGTCAGCACCTGCCATAGTGGGTAGAGCCCTGGAGAGGACATTCGAGTAACATCGGGCCCCTCCCCTACCCAGTGAAACCCTTGCCTTCATAGGGCTCAGACCAGGGCTTTGGCTCTGGCCCTGGGCTCGTCCCTTGGGGCCTCTGCCCCGTGTGGCAGGTGTCGCCCCCAGGTGTGCCCAGTCTAATGGGATCCTGGGCTGGAGTGTGGCTCTTCTCCTCATGCGATTGCCTGGTTTCATCAGGAAGCTGTGACCTGAGTGTTATCTCAGAGCCACCTGGGTCCCCTGCACTTGGGTGTGGGTGCCGTGCAGGTGCCCTTGGGTGTGGTACTCCTTCAATGCAGTGTGTGTGTGTCTGCTTTGGTGTGCAAACACCCCCCCCAGGAAACTTCAGCTCAGCCCCGCCCCCGCCCCGGGCTGCAGAACTGCCTACCGGGAGTCTCCCCACGGTTTTCGGAGGCCCTCGCCCTGCCCCTGCGGCTCTGACGCACTCCCTCTATTTTCCCTTTGTCTGCCCAGTCCTCTACCAGCCTCTGTAGCACCTGGACAGTTGGACTCTGACCTATCTCCTGTCCTCAGGGCCGCCAACGGTCCTCTTTGCAGTCTCCCTCCTGACACTAGTGGAGGGACAGCAGCTCCCGTGCAGCCAGAGGCCCCAGCCTTGCACCGGAGTCCTGCAGAGAGGCGTAGGCTTTGCAGCCTCAGCCCAAGGGACACATGGAGATGCCCCCACCAGACTCAGGCCAGCGGGAGTCAGGGAGGGTGGCCGGCCCACTAGGTAGACAGGGCCGGTCTGATGAGAGAAGAAGCTGCCCAGCACCTCCCTGCCTACTCACAGCTACCTCTTCTGTCTGTCTCTCTGCATTTTATCTGCTCTTGATGACAAAGCACCTCGGCTTAAAGAGCGGACCCCACGATGGGAAGTGGCCGGACCCCAGGGGCACAGGGGGAGGCTGGGGCAGGGCTGTTAGGTGAAGGGTGAGGTTCGAAGGAGGGGTCCTCTCCAGCTGGCCACGTCCTTTCCAGGCCTGACCACAATTACATCCCTCACTTGACCATCCCAGTTTCAGGCATCACGGCCCCAGCTTGGGGGGCGCAGCCCCAACGCACCTCCTGTGACGGAGGGATAAGCAAAAAGGGGGCTTTGGCTTCAGCAGGGGTCCAAGGACCGAGCTGGAGGGGAAGGGCTGCAGGCTGTCCCTGAAGATGGCCCTGTGGGGTGCAGTGGGCTCGCTTCAAGGAGCAGGAGGCAGACAGTGGCAGAGGTCATCTCCTGGTGCCTCGAGTGGGCAGAGGCACCATCCTCACCCGTCTCACCTCTCCCACCTGGGGTCCATCCCCTCCGCAGCCACCCACGGGAGGAGCACTCCTATGCTTAGAAGACCAGCGCCCTGACCCTGCCAGCTGCCCCGGACCAGAGCCCAGATGCCTGATGCCCTGGCCCGGGGCAGAAGCTGGTTCTCACAGCAAGGAAGGGGCGGTGCAAGTCCTGGGCTAAGGCCAAGGCGTCTGGCAGGCCTGGGACGAGAGCCCGAGGAGGAGAGCTGTGTGGGAATGAAGTGGGCACCCGTGGGGGCCGTGGAGTGGCAGTGCAGCACCCTGCCGCTGCCGGCCTCGGTGCCTGCTGCTGTTTTCCGGGGACTGGCTGTTTCCTCCACCTGTTTGCCTCCCCTCTGCTGTTTACCCATTGTTTTGAAGAGTCTTCCTGTCCCCCTTCGGCTGTTCTTAACTTTCCGCAGGGTGGTCCCGTCTCCAGGGGAGGTCACCCCCCCACTCTGCTGCCCCCTCCTGCATCACACCACACCTCCCCTGTGGCTCCTCTCAGGGCCCAGCATCCCCCACCCCTGTCTCTTTATCTCCCATCTGGCTCCTCCCTGCCCCGATTGGTTGGGTTGAAGGGCCAGGGTTTCCTTTGAGGGTCTTAACTAGTGTCTTCCTAGATGAGGCCAGTTCTCCGCCAGAATCGCCTGTTTTTCTCCTGGGCTCCTTCCCACCCTTCCTCCCCCTGCTGTGCCCCAAGAGGGGGCACCGCTTGGTCCCAGCGCCCAGTGTTTGCCACAGAGTTAACGTTTAGCTCGGGGCCAGTTCCGGGTGCTCAGACCCGGCCTCGCTGCCTGGCCCTGCCCGCCCGGCTGGCTGTGGGAGGGACTGACACGCTGAGACTCATCCTGCACCTGCTC